CTTCACCAGCTCTAACAACTGCTAAGAGAGTACAAACCAAAAAGCCACCCCCTCCAACCACAAAACCTGCACCAAAACAAAGAAACCAGCGTCCTGCTGCCTTGAGGCTGCGAATACCAGACAAAAATAGCAATGAGAAACTGGGGAGATGCAGTTCATGTGTGGTTTTATTATTTTTTAACCCCCTTATCTTAAAGTAAGGAATAAAAAGAGATGAGTAATTATTGAGATACAGACTAAGGTATCCACTGTGGTGGAGAAGCGGGGGAACACAAGAGGATCTGGAGGGGGAAGGAGTTTGTTGTTAATTTGATTTTTCTACCATTTTACCTTTTCCAGCACTGTGAAGAGGGTGCATATGTGACATCCACAGCTTTGAGTGAAATTGTTTTATCACCCTGCAATCTAGTAGAAAATAGAGTCTGGCAGTGCATTGCTGATGAAGCCAACCACAAAAGAAATAAAAGTAAATAAATACATAAGAGTCTTGATGTATTTGGAAATGATTCTATGGGAGAACAAAAAAATAAGCTCACTATTAAGCCTCGTCAAAAAAAAAAAAAAGACAAAATCAGTTTTATGAAAAAGATAAAAATCTTTTAGCAATTTTTGCTCCAAATCAGAATAAGTCTTCATTTGTTCAAGTGTTTTTTGCGTAATGTAGTTCAGCACATTTTCAAAGACTCTGCACGTTCATCATTTGTCTCGCTTGTTCTTTCGCTTTTGGTTTGCTGAGGGCACTAGAGGAAGAGGGGTTTATCCTTTTCCTCTTTGAGTTTTCTTCTTTTTCTTTTCACTCTTGTCACACGCTTTATTTTCCAGATTTTGAGATACTGCTATTTCTGCAGGAGGTGGGTGGGGTGAAGTTTGGGAAACAGAATTTCCCATTAAAAAAACAAACAAACAAACAAACAAAACACAAAAAACCCCCAAGCCATAAAGATTTCCAGTTTCAAACTCCTAGCCCCACCCTGTAGTATTCTGCTTTGTTCAATGGCTTCCTTCCTTGTGCATAAAGCACGTTAAATGAGATGAGCGACATTGAAATCCATTTAATTTTCAGTCCCAATAACACTAGGAAAGGTGGTCATTAGAACCAGGGGCTCATTTCTTTCTGTGAGCTTGGGAGTGTTTTTCTGTCGACACATCCCATTGTAGATCACCTTTCGATTTTCCTCGCTGCCATGGAAAGCCCCCCTGCCAGCGCTGGTGCTCTGCAGAGAGGATGTGGGGGACTTAGGAGTTCACCGTTGCCTGCATCACTCTGGGACGCAGCTGAGACATGCTCAGACTCGCTCTTTGTGTTGCCTTCATGGCTCTTACATTTGCCCAAAGGGCTTTTGTGAGTCTGCAGGTGCTGAGAAAGATGGGACTGTTCAGTTTGTGATGAATTATGTCATTATATATATATTTTTTTTTTTTTTCCAGAAACACAACTAAATAATTTAATGAGTAAAATATACCAGCAAGCTAAGAAGAATGAATGTTGTTCAAAGCCAGCCTATTCTAGGCTGTTTTAGTCCCTCTTCCAAACATTCCTCCCATTGGTATGCTCATTCTCCTTTCTCTTACCAGATGGTGGCCACCATGGTGTAGGAGTGGAATGGGGCCTTCCCCTTTCCAGCAGCACTGAACTGTAGGGTGAGCTCACTGCAGCCCACGAAACCATGCCGGAAAGGCGCGATGTGGCAGTACAGCCGAAGCTGATTTCACATCTAGCTGCTGCTAGAAAGTGAGGTCCTGCTTCTCTCCTCCAAACCCCAGAAAGCAAATTTCAATTGCTCTGCTTCCAGCCTCTGCAGAGCAGCAAAAGAATGAACCAGGTGGAAAAAAAACACATGTATTTTTGTGCTAGCTTAGTTCTGTGATCTGGCACACCATGAGCTCAGCCAAGCAGCAGCGAAAGAGGTGCAGCAGGAGGATTTGGCTGGAGCTTGTGTACAGGCTGCCTGTTTTGGGGGGGGTGAACTCTTTACCCAGCTCCCCGTCTTCTCCAGTAACATCCTACCTGACAGAGCAGCAGTCCCTCAAGCATCCCACAGCGGGGCACGTTGTAACAGCGACCTTGAAAGAAGCCTTGCTGGTCAGATGTTGGCCCTTGAGGTCGTTATGTTTAATGACAGCCTAGAGCAGCATCGGCTCTGTAGCTGTAAGCACAGCTACCTATTTTCTTTCTTGGGAGTTCTGGTGTATGAAAAACGGGCTTGTAGCCCCTGCCTCCTTGGTTCCGCTCAGAGGATTGCACACAGTGCCTGGCCAGTCTGCCCATACCCAAGGTATATTTGAGATCTACCGCTACTGAGCTTGTGGGTATTTGACTTGCTTGCTCCACTAACCACTAAAATCTCCTCCGAGTCCTTGTTGCGAGCTTTCTTATGTCTGGTGGTAAGGGAGGGAACATTTTTCTCTGAAGGTGGTTCAGCACCCGGAGAGGCTGGGCAATTTCCAGCCTTGGAGATGTTCAGGAGTCACCTGAGCAAGGCGCTGAGCAGTCCCAGGTAGGTTTAGATTCAGCCCAGCTATGAAGATGGAAGGTTGGACTCAAGAGCTCCAGAGGTCCCTTCCCACCTATATCTTTCTGTGAAGCTCAAGGGTCGCTCATTTGCTTTCATGGGCAGTGCAGCTTGTTCGTTTGTTTTTTTTTTTTACACAGTTGCTATCATTCATCAGACTGTTGCTTGATTTCAAAATTCGGAGATGGCTAAGGCAAAATAAGCCCTTAAATGAAGTCTCTTCTTTTTACTGCTGTGGGTATTTGCAGGATCCGGATTGCTCTTGAAGTAGCGAAGATCCCTTTCTTTTCTCCCACTGTAGTACAGCTTGCCAGCACGCTAGCCAACTAAACATAACCTGCAACGTGAAAATAAGCAAAAATACTGCCACTGCAGCTCTGCCAGAGCCTCCTTGCCCTGCTTTACCAGCTCTGCGTCTCTATGGCTGCTCAAATGGCTACATACGTGAAAAGGGGGACAGTGAATTTAAAAAAAACCCTACTTAAATGCCACCTCTGTCACCTGGATATTTCACATAGAAAGTCTTTGGAAAACAAGCGTTGTGTATATTAGGTGTGTTTCCCAGGTAAGCAAAAACGTAAACCGCAGCAAGCAAAAAAATTCTCCAGCCCATGCATCACAGAATACATTGATGTGTTTTTATTGCTGTGATTCAGCTGGCTTCTCGATAATAGATAAAGACAAATCAAAGCTCTAAGGTTTATCAAGACACTCACTCTTCAAAGGCCTTTTGAATCAGAGCAGCGAGACGGCTGGTTGTAGGAAGATCAAAACCAAAACAAAATAGTTAATGATTTTTGATCTCTGAGGGTAATATTGACCACTTCTCAGTTCCGTTGAGTGGGCTGTTTCACAAGACTTCTGTGCAAGCTATAAATGTAGGCAAGCGAGCCTCCTCGCAAACAGCAGTGCCGGACTGGAGGAAGTGCCATCAGCTCTCCCCATCCGCCAAGGTGACATCAAGGTGAGACGCACACTTTTTACCCGAAAACTTTCAGTGGCTTCATGGGCAGCTACCGTGAAATGCGGTTGAAGAGAAAGAGGTTTGAGTGTTGGGATGAGAGCTGCAAAATGTACGTGAGGATCTGATGTCTGTATTTGCAGAAACTTAACGCATCTTTCAGGTGCTGAGAAGACAGCCGCAGGATACACATACCTTACAAAGGGAGAGGGTGGTGAGCGCCATCGCTACAAATTTCCAAGGGGTGAAAGTGAGAATATTTTACAAATTAATCTTGGGCATAGGATCTTTATGTTGTGTCAGCAAAATTAACTGGCTTGCTATTATTATTACTTTTTTGACAGGCGGAAGGTCATCATACTAGTGCTCAATCAATACATTAAAGTTTGGGTAGCCACAGCCTCCATGAATTCAGTTATAACTGTGAAAAAAAATGCTTAAATGTTTTTAATCACATAGTGACATTTTTATTTTAAAAGTGAGATTTAAATGAGGTTGTTTTTTTTTTTTTTTAATGTTGATTATGTTGCTCAGGTCTTGTTGCTTTGACTTTTAATCTTACTTGGGCAGATCTGACCTTCTCCCATCCCTTCCCAGAATCAACTAGAGTAACTGCTTCTTTCCCTCAGATATATTAGCCCTGAAATCTGAGATTTTGCTGTGATGACTGTTATGTGATTTAGAAAGGGAGCTGTCCTCTTAATTGGCCGCTTGTTTCGGTTTCTGCAGCTGCTACTAATAAATGCTGTGGTTCTTCATCTGATTCCAGCCGACTTTGTGTGGAATTAGCGATGACTATTTGTAACGGTGCTCCAAAAAGCCATTTACAACCCGAAATTTAGTCTGACTCAAAGAGCTTATGCTTTGAACTTGATTGCTTCTCAGCTTATGTCAAAACCAGGAATCTCTTGATTTCAATAGAATTTCATATAAAAAGAGAAATAAGGTATTTCAGGGAGTCTAAAAGTTCAGTTCTGGCCTTAACAGAATAGATTGTTTTCCTATTTAGAAATTAATTGAATGTCTCACTACTTCTTTACTTGTAATACTACGTGGATCATGAAATCTAGTCCAAACGATGAACGCCAATTTCTAAAATAATTCTCGAATGCAGTGTCAATTATCAACTGAAAGATTTATCACCAGTTATATATTTTATTTCATTATTACTTAGGATATACTGGTAAGATGTTAAACTAAATGCTCAGATGTCCCTCACACATATACGTAAACCAACATACACAACTAAATAAAACTGGACAGTTTTGGTGTAGATATCTCATTTTACTTTTTTCTTCCAAATTAAAATTTCTATGTCATGCCCTCACTCTTTTCCAGCTGCAGCTATATTTATCCTCTGCTAAAAATGTTTTACTTTTCCTTTTTTCCTTCCCTCCCCCCTCCAGCATTTTGTGGCTGGTGCAAAAAGGCTTCTTACGAGCATCGCTTATTTTCTGTTCTCCTTTTCTGCAGGCTGCCATCCAGCTCCTACAGCAAGAAATCCGAACTACAGAAGTCCTGCTGAGATGGGAAAAATCATCATTTACGAGCATGCCAACTTCCAAGGTTACTCCAGAGAATTCACCGGTGACATTGCCAATCTAAAAGATGTAGATTGGAATGATTGTGTCTCCTCAGTGAAAGTAATTGGCCAGCCTTGGGTGGCTTATGAGCACCTCAACTATACAGGCCAGTTCCTGGTATTTGAGGAGGGAGAGCATAGCTTTGTTGGTCAAGAGATGAATGATAAGATCACTTCTCTGCAGATGATCACTGAAGATCTGCACAATCCCCAGATCACTCTCTATGAACATGCCCAATATCAAGGGAGGAGCAGGGTAATAAAAGAAGCAACCAACCTGGCTAGGGGACACGACAATGACATCATGTCTTCTCATAAAGTCCAGAAAGGTGCCTGGCTGCTGTGTGAACACAGCGATGGAAGTGGTTTTCGTTACATTGCACGAGAACATGAACACCTTCCAAATTACACTTCCATTGGTTTCAATGACAAGCTTTCATTTCTGCGCCCCCTTCTCCCTGGCAACCGCTGTGGCTGTTAGACTGCAAATCTTGCAATGCTGAGGGAAGACGCAGCCCCAGCAAGAAACCCGAGATCTAGATCTCTGTCTATGCTTGTATTGCTTTTTTCCCTTGAGTCACAGAAACACTGAATGGGAGAGCTCTCTTTCATGCTGCACTGCAGATCTGTATTTCTCAATCCTGCCTTGCACTGTTCTCCCTCTTCATAATCCCCACGAATGCAAGAACTATCGTATTCGGCCAAATGAATGAGACTCAAAGATAAGGGACGTGCCAGGGGTGGGTAACCTATTGTACCTGCCGTTGGCCTTCCAGTGTCCTGTACTATGTAATGTAAAAGCATTGCATGTTGCTTCTGTTGCTAAATGCATAAACAAAATATGAGTATAAAACCAGCATCACTTACTTTGTAATTTGTTTTGCAACATTCTTGCTTTACCATGGCCTTTGCCATTTTTTGTATTCCATCTTTTGTTGTTGCCATTAAAGAAGCTATTGAAAGGAACAATGGGTCTATTTTATGTATTGTTTGGGGTTTGACATATTGCTCTTCCATGATGAGATATCTCTGTGTATTCAGAGAACGGTTCACGCAGTCACTTGTAAACATTTTTCATGGATCTCTCCTGAAAGGTTTTATCTCCTTCCATTCTCATTTGTCAGCTAACGTTGGGTTCGGGCTTGACTCAACCAGACTTGAAGTCTTGGTGAGCATGCCGAGTGTTGCTGTGATCCTGGCCAAACTCTCACCTGGAGACTTCACTTAATTATCACAACACTTATTGTATCTCAAGGCATTGATCATACTAATGATGGTCTTCTACTGCCCTCAATTATGTAATCGAACAGGAAGTTTTGATAAATTTGAATTGATTGATTGGTTGATCACAATAGGAAAACCTGTCTGATTTTTTAAACTTTTTTTATCTTGCTATGAGATGAGGTATCATTTTGAAATCACAATATTTCAATGAGAATGGGAAAATCCCTTTCTTCTAAAGTTACCATCATTGTAATTTTACATTGTAATGGCACTTTACTGTTGTAAAGATCTTGAGAGTCACCACGTGGCATTGTTCTACCACAGGCCAGACTTAAATGCTAAATCAGGTAGCTCAGGGCCCTCCAACGCACCAAGAAGTGCCAGGGGTTATTGCTGCTAAAAGCACATGAGGAATCCCAGCAGGCCCTTCTTTGTCCTTTACCAATTCCATGGGCATCACAGGACCCAAACGAGATCTTTCATAGGGCAAAGAGGCAAATGGAGGATGAAGATGCAAGCTGCAAGAAGCAGTAAGCTACAGGAGAAGGGTTGCTGAAACATCTGTAGTTCAGTGTTTTGCAAGCCCCCAGACCAGCCTGGAGAATGACCTACTGCTCAGCGTTCCTGCAGGATTGTGACTCTGTATGTTTAGAATCATAGAATCATTAAGGTTGGAAAAGACCCTTAAGATCATCGAGTCCAACCGTTAACCCAGTGGTGCCAAGTCCACCACTAAACCATGTCCTCGAGCACCACGTCTACCTGTCTTTTAAATACCTCCAGGGATGGAGACTCAACCCCTTCCCTGGGCAGCCTGGGCCAGGGACTGATAGCCCTTTGGGTGAAGAAGTTTTCCCTAATATCCAACCCAAACCTGCCCTGGCGCAGCTTGAGGCCGTTCCCTCTCGTCCCATCGCTTGTTCCTGGGGAGAAGAGACCAAACCCCCCCGGCTCCAGCCTCCTTCCAGGCAGTTGCAGAGAGCGATGAGGGCTCCCCTCAGCCCCCTCTTCTCCAGACTAAACAACCCCAGCTCCCTCAGCTGCTCCTCATAAGACTTGTGCCCAACACTGAGCACAGGATTTGAGGTGCGGCCTCACCAGTGCCCAGTACAGGGGCACTCTCACCTCCCTGGTCCTGCTGGCCACACTGTTCCTGATATAAGCCAGGATGCCATTGGCCTTCTTGGCCACCTGGGCACACTGCTGGCTCATGTTCAGGCGGCTGTCAACCAACACCCGCAGGTCCTTTCCCTTTGGGCAGCTCCCAGCCGCTCCTCCCCACGCCTGCAGCCGTGCCTGGGGGTGTTGTGACACTTCCACCCAACTTGGCATCATCTGCAAACTCACTGAGGGTGTCCTCGATCCCCTCGTCCAGATCATTGATAAAGGCATTAAACAGAACCGGCCCCAGCACTGAGCCCTGGGGACACCACTGGTGACCGGCCGCCAGCTGGATTTGGCTCCATTTACCACCGCTCTCTGGGCTCGGCCATCCAAGCCAATTTTTAAACCAGCGCAGACTGCACTTGCTCTTTACTTCCAAAGCAGCGCATTGAACGCTACATGACAGAGTCAACTTCAAAATAAACTCATTTGGAATATGAACTATGGAAGGCCTTCTTGCAGACGTGGGATCACTAGCTATTGCAAGAACTGTTTTGCCACGTACAAGTTTACCTGGAGAGCACACAGTTGCAGTTTCGCATTACCACTAACGGCAGCTGCACTCTCCGAGCCATGTGTTATGATAGCTGTCATGCAGCTCTGCGTTGCAATGATTATCTAGCTCTATGCTGAGCTCCTGTTTGCCACAATTTTCTTGTATTTATATCTAAAAACGAAACCCAGGACACCCTGCGCTATCGTCTGCTGGGTTTTGTTCCCATTTTGAAACAAACACTGCAGACTGTGCTGCCATATCAGCCACTTGTGTTCCTCTGGTAGGCTCATGTGGGCCGATGCAATGGTGATCGCTCAGGATCGATGTGTTTTGGGACACTTACTGCTTTGCAGCCAATTTCAGATTTCCTTGCTCTATTCATCAAAGATCTTCTTTTAATGGGATTTCAAAATTCAATTCAAAGAACATGGAGCATTCTCCCTACTCTAGGCCAAAAGAACTTGGAAACACTGAGCACTCTCCAGATAAAGCCAGCTGTGCCCGAAGAAAGGAGATACTGTATGGGGAGGGGGAAAGCTGACACTGGTATGTTCAAACACGTGCTGTAGCAATGGTATCAGTGGGTATGTAGGATGCAGCGTTTTCAGCCTTCTCAAAAAGGTAAATTAGACTGTGCAGAGCTCGGTATTGTCACCATTAGGCTTCTTCCAGAAAGCCCAAGCACAGCACTTTGGGCAACATATAACAAAGCTGCAAAACACCAATGCACATTATGTTCCCCGTATTAATGCTACTCTCCAATATTAATACCTTTCGGAGTGGCAAATCAAGTGGCAAATGCCATCTTCTGCCCAAACCAATTTGTGGAAGAAATTATTTTGGAAGTCCTATTGAATCGCCTTGGTCATGTCTGAGGGATCTCTTTCAGCATCTCAGCATGATAATGACCTTACATAGGCACTGTTAATAGGAGAGAGATTATTTAGGATGTCTCGAATTTTCTTTCCTAGGAAATACACTTAATGATATTTCCTTTGTGAAAAATGCCATTTCCTAAAGAAGAAAGAAGGTATTCTCTTATTTTCTTGGCATATATAGTTGAAAATTTATTTACAGCCAGCATGTCTCTGAATCAGGTAATTGTCATCTCCGAGTTTTCCCTCTGTTTCCCTTGGACAAAGAAAAGATTACATTACCTCCCAAAGTTGCTGTTACTCTGTGATTTTAACCATCTGTCCTGGGTTTGACTGGGATAGAGTTAATTTTCGTTCTAGTAGCTGGTACGGTGCTGTGGTTTGGATTTAGTATGAGAATAATGTTTATAACACACTGATGGTTTAGCTGTTGCTGAGCAGTGCTTGCACTGGTCAAGGACTCTTCAGCTTCCCATGCTCTGCCCAGTGCACAAGGAGCTGGGAGGGGGCACAGCTGGCCCAGACTGGCCCAAGGTCTATTCCATACCGTGTCGTGTCATGCACAATAAAAAAACTGGGAGGAG